GCCCACGACCCAGCGTGTTCAGGGTGGTGTTTTAGCTGACAACAGTTACCGATTGTGGGTTAATGTGTGTGGCTTTTATTTTTCCCTTAGTGTTTATTTATCAGATGTTATAAAGAAACAACTGGTAATTAAATTTGTCTGTTCTAATGCTGTTAAAACAATTGTATTGAGTTGCAGCAACATATAAAGGTCTAAGCACAGGACTGGCACCCGGGAAGTCCTGGGTCCTTATCTTTCTTTCGGTGCTGATATGGTTACGTGGACTTGGTCAAACTACTGCAAATCAGAATAATGGAAATCTGTCCAAGTGTTACAGAAGGAAATCACCCCTGCCTTGCAAAGGGAAGGGATGTATTTATGTGGCACAGCATCTTGAAGCAACGAATGCTACGCATGTGAGATGTCTTGTCTTGGAGAGATTTATGCAGTGGATACATAAGCTGTTCAGATTGTACTTGGTTAGGAAGTGAAGTGCTTCAGGGTCTAGCTGAGCTGGCCATGTGATAAGTGCTTCAGAAGGACACTACGCATGTCCCTGTTTTTTTCTGGGAGTTGTTGAGTCTGAAATAACGGTGCGGTGCTGCTGGCAGCAGTTTCAGCAGGTTGCTGAAGCTGAGTGGTGGAATAGGACCCATGCCCATGTAAAGGTCACTTGCAGAAGAGCTTGTTTCTAGGCTGCAGGCTTTGTCAGCCTTGCTTTTAGGACCAGGACCTCCTTCCTCCTGGGCTGGCTGGCAGTGTCAGCTGATCTTCCTCTCCAGAGCAGAGGAGTTTTATGTGAAGTTACTGTGTGACAACTCCAACAGGGGCTGGTCGTGTTGAGATAGCAGTTGGGGAACACCAGCACCTACTTGATGCATTTAACAGCTGATAGCTCTTGGAGTGTTGTCTCCAGAAATTGATGCTCTTGATATTTTTGTTTACCTGAGGTCTTTTGAGTTATTCTTTGCCACTGTGAAGGTGGTGTTTACTGTTGCTGTAAACACCAAAGTTGTGTTTCTGTTGTAGTAAGAGCTGTCCTCAGGGCAGAGGTCCTTCATGCTTCTGCTGCTTCTGACCCTGGTGATGGTAGGTGGCTTTTCAGTGACTGCAAAGTAGGGAAATGACATATGGCAAAAGCATCGCCAAATGTTTATCCATAGCCAAGATAAACTAATGCTCTGAGTAGTGACTCTTCCAGGTAGCGTTTCCTAGGGCTTTGTGTAGAGTTGGAAGTGTCATACCTGGGCTTATTCCCAGATCTACAGAGCCCTGTTGAGAGACTTGAATTGCTGATAACCTCCCCAACCAGTCCCTTGATTGTCATCCACCTGGAGTGCTGTTGAATTTGGTGGGGTTTGTAGGAGCGCAGCACTTGCAAAAATCAATTTGCAAATTTGTCCCCTTTCTTGTCTGAGGAGTGGATGTGGTTAACCGCTGTGGTGTGGGAGGGCGATCCCAAATTCATGATGTGTAAATGGATTTGTAGTTCATCGTGTATTGTGTTTGATGGCCTAAGTTTACTCCCAGTACTCAGGTGCTGTAGAGGCCATCCTGTGTCTGCTTCAGGGGCAGCAGGAGGTTACCTTTGTGTGTTGCATAGCAGTCATCTGGAGGGGACAAAAAAACCCAAAACAACCAAACATAAAAAAAAACCCAAACCCTAGCAGGATGTCCCATTAACATGTCTTGTTTTAGAGGGCAGTGCAAGTCCACCAGCTTTCTAGGTTTCAGTGTCATAGAGGTGGGTATTTAGTATATTAATTCTAACATGTTTCAGCAGCCGCTTGCACAGCTTTTGTTAGAAGCTCGGGAGAGTGATTGTCATCACTTTAGCATCCTCCTGTCTCTCTTCTGAAGACTCTTGCTGTGGCCAGAGAAGTACAGGCACAGTTTCTGTGGAGATGCTGGAGAACATAGGAGATTGCTTGTGATAGTATTTCAGACAGGCTCTGTGTCAACTCTGTTTCTTGTTGTAACATTTAAGAAAAAAATCTCTTCAAGTTTGGTATAATCTTTCTTTTCTTGGCAGTTCTCAGAGGTGGCTGCTGGGGACTACAGAGTCAGCAGGCCCAGGTCGTGTTTGAGAGTTTCAGTTCATCTCCTTGGGAAAGGAGATGATAGGATCTGCTACACAGGTGGGAGACTGTGTTGGTCCAGGACCTAGTTCAGGTCTTAGTGTGTCACCCATTCCTGAGCTTGAGACACTGGAGCTGCTGTTTGCTGACCACTGTCGTAAACCCAGGTTAAGGCATCCTGCCATCCCCTGCCACTTGTCCATTATTCACAAGACAGCTCTGCAGATTTGTGCTGGGAGAGTGACAAACTGCTGTACAGAGGTGGAAACAGGAGCTGGGAAGGAAATCTTTACCTAGTTTGACTACCAGGCCTGGTACATTGTAAAACTGCAGTCTGAGCTGGAAATCCCGCAGCATCTCTTCACTAACATCAACCTGGAATTTATCTGGCTGTCTGCCACGTGCTAAATAAACCCCAGGTCGTGTTGGAGGCTCCTTCTACCCCTTTGAATCCCAGCCCCTTTCTGGGATAGCAACCTACAGGCTGAGTTTTCTTCTGTGGGGGTTTTTAAGCAACCACTTTGGAGCTCCTTGAAACTAGATCCTAGTGGGAATTGCTGCAAGGCCTCTCTAGCCTTGCTGGCTGCGACATCCCAGAGTGAAAACGTGGCTTGGATTGAGGATTGGTTGGTGAATTAGTACAAACTCAGCTAGCACAATTGCTTGGATTTCCTAACGAGCAGTGAAGAGGTCTGGGGAGGTAAGAAATGTTACATACAGTGAGATCAGAGGTCTGTACCTCTGCCGTCTGCTCTGTCGTGGTGATTTGTAAGGAAATCTGAGTGTGGTGTGATCAGGCTTCAGACTTTTCTTGTCCCTTCACCTTCCTGCCTTCTTTTTTTAAGGATTCTCAAATTCTGTGTTGTAGTGATGCCTTTTTACCGCTTGCATCTTTGCAGTGTCCTGGCACTTAAGATGCTGGCCTCGGAATTAGGACTTGGCTCGTATTACTGTGGCAGAATCAAGAGTTGTCTTTCAGCTGGAAAAGTACCGAGTTTGATTTTTCCTTGAAAGAGATTGCATTTTAAAAAGACCATTCTGATGGTGGTGTAACTGATGTTTGCCGCCTTAAAAAATAATTAATTGTGTTCAAACCTAGTGGGAAGGAGTCAGGCGCTCACATAGAATCTTCCATGCACTGTTGGCAGAGGGAACTGCCCAGGTTGTTGTACGTATTTTGGTTTAACTCCTTCCCACTGATGTCTCGCCTTTGGTTCGTGTCTCTTGCTTCCCTTGCTAGTGGAAGGAGGCTCTAATAGAGAGAACGGAGGAGTGATTCATGCTGAGAAAGGAAATTATCTCTTATCTCAGTTGCCTCTAAGCCAGTCCTGGCAGAGCTGACTTTATCCTTGAGAGGCTGAAAAGTTGGTCTAAAAGGCAAATATTTATTCTTTAGAGTGTCTGAAATCGATCTGAAACGCAGGCGTCTGGTGCGGTTGCCGATGGGAAGGAAGCTACGCTTGTCTGTGTTCAGCCTGCACGCAGAACAAAAACCTGCTGAGATTTGTGTAACCTCATTGCCTTCAGCGATGCTTCGTCCCACCTCAGTTACACCAGTAGGGATGTGGGAGAGAAAGCCAAGAGGTCCAGCTCCTGGCTTCTCTGTGCTCCCAGCACTGAGGTTCCTGGGATAGAGACTCCTAAAATACCAGCACTCTTCTGCATCTTAAGATCTCCTAAGTGAGATGGGAGGAAGACCAAACACTCAGCAATGTGGCTTTTCTTCAGGGTTGTGTAGTAGGACACTTAGGAAAGGTTTTATAGTACCAAGTAGAATGTTTCCATACCTTTTCTTTTAAAACTGCGGTGGAAATTCCGCATGGCTTTCTGTAGCCAGCCTGCTCCTGCCTTGGTGGTGGCCCACAATTCAGCAGCAACAGAAAGTGAAACTGGCTGGTCTGTTGGTGGTATGCTGAGGTGTGCATAAAGTGGAAAAATGGTATAAATACTAAACCAGATGAGCTTTGCAGTCCTGTTATTATCATCTTTATGGAGAAAGCTGTCAGTGGTAAGAATGAGCCAAGCCAATTCTTGTGCAATTAGCCCCATACAATTACATGGTATTCAGCGATGTTTGGCTTCAGCTGTAAGTTCTTGTGTATAACAGGGACTTTCTGATGAGGACATGAAATTTCGATATCCTGAGTGAATATGTTGCAGTTAACCTAATCATGTAAAATCTTTTCATGCTCCTTTAGCTTCTGTCTTAAAGGTCATTGAAATCTAGACCCCGGATGCCCTTTTTAGCCTTTGCGCAGCATCCGTTAGCGTTCTATTTTTGAGCACTTGCTAGTGTTGGATGTGAAGGGAGGTACTTTGGAAGGGTTTTGCAATATTTGTGGTTTATTTCCTACTTTATCACTTGATAGTAGCTCATACTTTCCTGTTTTTTTAGGGAAATTGCTGTGGCTTGAACCATGGCTGCTGAATGTTTTGTTGCTCTACCTAGCCTCAAAATTACTTTTGCTGCTTGCTTGGATTCTTTCACTTCCAGCAGAGAAAAGTAGACCTGGCTTAATCTGAGCATAGTCCTAAGAGCTCCCTAGCCCAGAGCTCAGTGATGGTGCAGATCTTCTCTTGACCTAAGCCAAAAACATCACTTGGGACTTGGTCCTGCATTGAACTGTGCTTAAGTTGATTCTCCATACCCTCTTGTTGAAGTGGGCTTGCTTTAGGTTTGAGATCTCTCCTTTAGATTTGAGGTCTCTCATTTATGCCTTGGTTTGTCTTTTTACAAAACATCTTTTCTTGAAAAGGTAATGCAACTCCTTGAGCTGTAAGAGTGATGATATGCACCTGTTGAGTATTACGCATCTGTGGATAATTGTGATACACCTGTTGGTTCTGTGTCTGAGGTGTATACAACTCCTGTCCAAGGAATGTCTGTAGTTCAGATGGCGAGATGTGTGATTAACCTTGTGTGTCTGGCTCTTTCAGAACAGGGCAGTCGGACGGCCCAAAGGGAAACTGGGCGCTGCTTCCGCGGTGAAGCTCGCAGCTAATCGGTCAACCGCTGGAGCACGTCGGAGGAGGACGCGATGCCGCAAGTGCGAGGCGTGTCTGCGGACAGAGTGCGGCGAGTGTCACTTCTGCAAAGACATGAAGAAATTTGGAGGACCTGGCAGGATGAAACAGTCCTGCATCATGAGGCAGTGTATTGCAGTAAGTGTACCTGTTGCTGCAGCTCGTTTGGAGATTTCTTTCCTATATCTGTGTCTCCTGATGACGAGATGTGGAACTGAGAACTCTGCTCTGACTAGTCTGTAAAGTGCATCAAGCAAAACAGGACGTTCCCTACCCTCTCAGTTCAGATCTCGTCTTACCATCGCTTTCTAGCCCCCCACCCAAATCTTAAACTAGAATGCTCCTAAAAGTTAATAGCATGGCTTTCATTCTCAGTGATGTAGAAGGTAGATGGGCAGATTATCAGTACACCAGAGATTGGCACTCAAAGCACACTGAAACGATGTGAGGGAGAAGGGGCCTGTTTGGTTTAGGTCTCAGAATTTCCGGAGAAAAGCTGTCGTGCAACCATGTTTACCGTCTTAACTACTTAACCAGCTTAAAATATGGAGAAATCTTTGACTGGCATCTTCCAAAATTTTGGCATTGATGACCCCAGCCCCAGTCTACTTGAGATCTGAATTTCAATTGTTTGCTATTACCTAGCCATATAGGAGGGACCCGATGTAAACGAGCCGAAGGGTCTTGTCTTCCTCAGGGACTGGAAATGGCTGTCAGGGGATGAGGATCAGAACAGGGCCAGCAGATGATCATACAGTTTCCTGGGCTTCTGTGATACAGTGCTTAGAAGCTTCTTGAGTCATAAGTGATAGCTTTGTGTTTAACAAATATTGACACATCAATCCTCCATTAAGTTGTCCAAGCACCTTTTGGATCTGTTGCTTTCATAATGTGTGTTGTGGAGCTTCTCGTCAGATCTTGTGTCCACAGGGCCCCAGTTCAAGGGTAAAAATTAGCTTTTCTCGGGATTCTTTAGATGATCTTGTTTATGCTGTTGTTAAGAATTTGGTTTTCTGTTGTTTTTTTTAAGGAAAGGGATGTTGTTTATTCGTAACTGAAATATCACCCCATCTATATTGATTCCTCTCTAACTCTTGTTGCAGTTCCTTTCACTTAGGTTTCTTTTTTTCTTTCGTTTTGTTGAAGAAACTGAAGTGGAAGCATTAAATGACTTGGTCTGACACTGATAAAAAAAACTGATAAGCACTTAAGATTTCCAGTAGTTGCTCCTGGTAGCTCACTCCATGTCCTGTTCTAAGCCGTGCACTGTTCTTGACATAGAGGATTGGATTCAGCTCTGCTGGATCTTTCAGTAAAGTACACAGAACATCTACCTTTCCGCAGAGTGCTTTTGCAGCTCAAGTGTCTTTTCTTTGAACACTTGGTTTCCTGGAGTGTGGCATGAATTGAACAGCATGGATGAAGAATTTATTATTCTCCAGGGGGAAGAAATAGTGAAATCGTGCTGCCTTTTTAGTGGAGGGATTAAATTAGGGCTGCAGTGTGCTTTCTTGTCCTGACTGATGAAGGAAACTTTCATACTAAGCTGTTTCACTCTTGATATACTGACTGAGCCTTTTAGAGATGAACTTGGTTATCTTCTGGCTGAGTGCAGTCATCCTCTCATCCTCTCCCTTGCAATGAAGAAGTATTTTTCTTCTTGGTATCTGCAGTTTTATTTCCAGAAGCTGTGGTTAGAGTACAGGGCTTGGTAGCCAGGGTACTCTGATTCCTTGTCCCACCGTTGCATGCACTGAAGACAACTCTGCCCTTCATAGGTTCCCATTGGTGTAAATAGCAGGAGGAGTATTACAAACTTTCTTAGAGCAGCAAAAGCATAGAAGATTAACAAGTTGAACTGTTGTAACTTTTAAGGGTGCTTTACATTTCTATAAGCAATCCTGTTGTCTTTACTCTTGTTCATTATGTTCTCTAACGATTGCAGTAGTGATGTATTGTGGTACCTATCCAACAGCTTCCAGCTGAAAAAAAGCCCAAAACACCAAAGCAAAGCTCTGTGGAAGTAATGATCCCTACAGTTCTGGGATCGTGCTTTGCTCTGGGTATTAACATTGACAATATTAAGTAGACACAGACTTCATTAAACTCAGAAGCCTTAAGAGAGCCTGTACTGGCATTTGGAGAATAGGAAGCTCCTCTGCATCAATAGTTCAGTCAAGAAGGGAAACAGGAGTGCCTGGGACACTTTGTATGCTGCATTGAGTAGGTCTGCAGGGAGTGTGGGGCTCTGTGCTGGGAGGACAAGTTGTGACAGCGTGGCTGCTGTTGCAGCCCATCAGTGGGACAGGGCTAGTTGAGGCACAGAGGAAATTCCTGGGACATCCTTGCTCCCAGCAGGAAAAAAATATACTGCTCCTGGGATGTTTGTTCTTGTGTGTGTATATAAATACTTGCTGTGTGGGAGATAGGACAAAACAAGTGGACAGAGCTCTTCTGACTCTGCACAGCTTAGCTTTACTCTGCTTTACCTGCTGGTGGGATGGGATCCTGGGGAGATTCCTATTTTGTGCTTGGAGGAAGGGTGGAAGTTAAATAGCGTTTGCAAAATGCTTTTAAAATGGAGCGTGGGTAAGTACTGGCATGAGAAAGCCGGGAAGTGTTGCCGTAGCTAATGCAACAGATGTTGGTGTGTGGGGCAGCACTCTGTGCTCTGTGATGCTTACTCTAGCTAGGTTTTTCCCTTTCTGAAGCTTGCCAAAAGCTGCACTGTTGCTGTGTAGATTTGGTTGAGTGTGCAAGTATCCACTTACGGGTTTTATTCACTCCATCTACAAGAGATCCTTGCTGTGAAAAACCACATCTCTGCCTCTGGCTGCTGAATAGTTAAGGACTTGCAACCTAATCGATTGCATTTCACGTTACAGCCAGCTTCATGTGAGGATCTTCCTTTTCTTTCTTGTAATGAGGCTTATACCTTATTGCCTCAAACCAGAAGTTTGTTCCTCATTAACATGAAGGTGGCTTTTTAATTAGACTGGTGTTCAGTGCTTTGACATGGGTGACAGATATGTGAGATGCTGCAGTTCCCTTTCTGCCTCAGCAAAAGACAGAAAAAAAAATCAGTGCCCTTCTCACTTGTGACACTTGCAGGAGAGGAATTATCTTTTTAAGTGTCTGTGCAGTGCTTTTTGCAATGCTCAGGTTGGGAGCAGGGCCCTAGATAATAGACTGTCAGTCAGGAAAGGTCTGTTCTTGGTTCTGTTGTGGGCTTGTTGCGAGACCTGGATTGGGTCCTGTAACATCTGTCGGCCCTGCTTGTAAAATAGAGAGCTGCCAAATTGCTATCAGATTGTGAAGCTTAGAGGATGCGAACAGTGATGTTCTAGGTTGCTTCTTTCCCCTCCCGTGGTACACTTGTGAAGTGACTTGTGTGCCAATGTCTGTGTCAGCTCACAGCTTAAAGAGACCCCGGGGAAAAAACCCACATTTTCATCCATCCTTGGGATGCCCCGTGAATCCATGTTGCCACAGGGAGGGCACTCAAATTCCAGCAAGCCAATGTTTGATCTGGGTATCCAGCCCTGACCATTACCAGTTTTTCTTGCCTTCATTGCTCTGCTGGACTAGAGCCTTCAGCAGTTTGCACAATTAAATCCTTATTTATCTCCTTTTCAAAATGAGGGTGCTGTAAATGCACATTGAGTTCTTCTGTTTTCATGTGTCTTCTGTGTCCTGATCAAGGCTTCTTTCTGATCTGTGTAAACAGCCAGTGTTGCCTCATACTGCTGTGTGTCTGGTGTGCGGAGAAGCTGGGAAAGAGGACACGGTGGAAGAGGAAGAGAGCAAGTTTAATCTCATGCTAATGGAATGCTCCATTTGTAATGAAATAATACACCCAGGATGCCTTAAGGTGAGTACAAGGATGTGATACATGTCGGAAACAAAAACTGGATTAGTGATCACCTTAATATAAAAGTAGTGCACAGAAATGAGAAAGCTTTCGCGTTTTCATCTTTGGAAACTTAAGTGAGCAAAGAGTTGGTGTGAGAAGCAGGGTGGCAGCTGTGGCACGTGCAGACCTGCCTGGCCTCGTGTAACCAGCATCCCCTGTAAGCAGAGACTCTTGCTTTGGACAGCCTCCAGCACGTGTGCGAGCAGATGTCTTGGGGGGTTTCTTTTTGTTTTGTTTTTCTTTCTTTTTTGCTTCTCATTTAAGGAAGTGAGGAGTTTCAGTTGGGATGGGAAGCTCAAGAGGACAGAGAAAGCTACCTGTACCTTTAGATGTGGTAGTCACCATCCCTGTGTCGATAGCTCCTTCCTGTGTCCCACAAAGTACAAACAGGTAGTTTGCTGTTCGGTGTTGTCCTGGCACAGATGTGCCAAGCAGCTGGCTTTCAAGATGTTATGAGCAACTGTTGCAGTAGGAAGACTGCAGCTCTATAGTGAGTTTCGTGCTGCAGGAGTGCTCACCCTTGGCTGACTTGAGTCCTGTGAGCAGCTGTATTCTTTGCTGGCGTAACAAAAGTGTCGTTTTGGGCATATCTTTGGGTATGAGCCTTTAGACGCCTCCTTTCTCCAGAGCTGGTTGTGTTTCAGCTGATCAGCCATTTCCTGTTGCTGATTTGTTTATGGTTAACATGATTTGCCAAAGCAAATGTATTCTGACACGCCATGCCCCAGAAAGCAGCTTTTGGCCCTTCTGGGATCTCTGAGAGGAGAGGTGTGTTCCTTACGCAGGCCCGGGGTGATGCTCTGCTGGCCTTTCTGTTTTCCTTGCGCTGTGCAGAGCGTCGCACCAAGCTGTGGCGTGTCATTTATTAGAGCAGAAGGTAGGTAGCTGGCAAACCAGGGCCGTGGCTGTCTCCTTGCTCTGCGAAGCTGGTGCTCACGGCTCCTGCCGCAGATGGGCTCTGGAAGGGAGCTTTGCTTGCTTGGCTCTGCTTGAAGCAAGGGAGGAGCAGCACGTTTCCAGAGGTACCTCAGCTCTGGCTTGTAGTCGCTGCTGTGTTATTCCAGTCCTTCCTGAGCAGTGCCCTGTTCGGAGACGCTTCCCTGTCTCTCGCTTTGCAGCATCACTGATGCTTCACGGCTGAGTCCAGAGGACACGACTGTAGTCTAGTGGCAGTTCAAGCACGGTTTCCTCTCCCCATACCACATTTGGGACTAGTTGCACAGGATGTGGGTCAGATCTGTGAAACCAAGCAAGTGCTGTTTGTTCTTTTATGCATGCGTGGTGTTCTGAGCGCTGTTTTGGTAACTAGGAACAACGTTGCTTCGGGTGTTTCTGAAAATTAAGCAGTGGGAGATTTACAGTGTGTCTTGTGTTTTAATTTGTCAATGCTGCTGTTGAGCTGAAATAAATGGTGGTGTAACTGGTACTGTGTATTTACTGAGACAAAAGGGCACTGGTAGGATTTCAGAACCGTCTTGGAAGGTGAGATGCAATTATGTCCAGGGGAACAGCAAAAGGAAAACGGAGCCTCTTCCTCGGATCCTTCCTTGCTCTTTATTCCCAGGTTCCATGATTTTCTGTGAGACAAAATCCGTTGCTGTGTTTACATGTCACTGGAGCCCTTGACGTGGGCTTAAGCCCAGAGGATGGAGCCCATAAGTAGTCCTTGTGGGAAGTGCCTCTGAATGCAGATGCAGCCCCGGCGCAGCTGTTTCGGCTGCCCACCAAGAGAAGGTCCCTTCTTGTCCTACTTGGTAAATAGGCAGCAGGGCATGTGAACTGTCGGTCATCTCCAATTAAATGCCTGTCAAGTGTACTTTTGCAGGGGGGACTGGAATAAACTGGATCAGTGAAGGGAGGATTGTCCTTTCCTGGCTTATTCCCATGTGAAGTGAATTCCCCCCAAGACTCATCTTCAAAGCTTGTGGAGTAGTTTGGCACAGGCACTGGCTAATTCGTACTCCAGGGCAGGTTGTTCCTGGTTTGAAGTCCATCCTCTTCCAGCTTCCTGATTTGGCTGTACGTGTTTGTGGTGGATTTTCTCCATGAAGAAACAGAGCAGAGGATGGCCTCTTTGAGGACATTAAGGGTAGCTCAGCTGCATCTGAGCTCCGACACACTCACAGCCTTGAGGGGCTTCTGCGGGTGCCTCTCGCGGGGGAGCCCTGGGTGCCAGCGCATGTCAGGGGCTCGCGTTGGAACCACGGGAAGGACAGCCAGGATGTGCCATGTACTGAGAAGTGCCGTGATGGAGTATCTGGCGTGTTGCTTTCCTTGAAAACGCAGTACCAACTCAAATGCTTGTTTTGCTGAAGAGTTTCCTAAAAAAAGAGATCTTGGCGAGTGTTCCGTAAGCGCAGCGTTGCATCCAGAGGGAGCCACTGAGATTTTTCAGAAGAGCGTTGCCTTTCGTTGTTACAGACTGTCTGAGTTGAACCGATGCTGATGAATTTTTCTTGCTACATGTCAAGTTACTAGGAATGCTGGTTAGCAGATGTGAGTGAGTGCAGTATCTGATGCTGTTTCCTTCAAGAGTTCATGTTCCCCAGTAGAAGCGTCGTCTTGTTCGTCTTGGGTGGATATAGTGATAATGATGGAAAAGGTGAATATTTAGGTGTCTTGTCAGAACAGCAGAATTACAAAGACCCTTTCCAGCACAGCTGCACTGCTGCCCATGGCTCCAGCCCAGGTGTGTCTCGCTGTCTGTGTTTTTTCAGTCTTGGCACTGCCAGAATTCATGGCTCTCGCTCAGCAATGTCGGATCAGCATCCCAGGGTCTCCGTATTCCTTAACAAGAAGACTTCACAGTAGCGTAGTCTCACGTTTAGGCTTTCTGAATTGCTGACCTCGTGCTGCAGGTACATTCCTGAAGACGCCTCATGCCGTGGCTCAGACACCCACCTGCTGTTTGTAGCAAACACTCAGATCTGGCTCCCACCCAGCCTGAAAAGCTTGGGACAGATTCAGTGGCGGGTTTGTGTGTGTCTAATTAGTTTGCTTACAGTTCCTCACATCTGCTCGGTTCCTTAAACTTCACAGAAGGGACAGAGCTGTAATGCTTTCTCCTCAGTAGCGTTTGTTCTGTATTCAGTGCGGGAAATAACTTGTTCCAAACTTGGGCTTGGGCCAGGGATTGTTCCCCCGAGGCAGAGATGTATACAACAACTCCTGGAGTATCTTACACCTACCATGGGAAAGGAGGTTCAAAGGCACACCGTTGTGATAAAACCAGTATTTAAATTCTGCCCATTTCATTTACTCATTTATTAACTCCAGAAGACTTGCTGAGAGACTGACATGTCATCACTCTCGCTAGGTGATGAAACTAGAATGGCTGCTGTCTGGCTCCGGGACTTGAGGAAGCAGTTCCCCTAAAACCAAGGCTTGATCCTGCACTCCTTATGTGTTTCGTTGGGCTGGGAGGAGAGCAGGAAATGTTTCAGAAACGTGAAAAATCTGTGGATCTTTGCCCCTGCCTGTTTCGGCAGCAGTCTCCTGCTACTGTGCTGCTGATGCCAATGCCCAAGCTATTTGTCTTGACAGCAGCATGTCTTTGTTGTCTGTAATAGTAATAAATAAATCTTTTTTTTTTCTTTTCTTTTTCCCCAAGGCTTAGTTCTGACTATATAACTAAACCCTTAAATGTGAATGTGCCATCAGTGAGCGTATGTGTGTGTGTGGAGGGTGTTTTCACCTTAGCTCTACTTTTCATCCTGTTTCATTCCCAGAAATGTCTTTTCAGAAACACCTATCTCCAGTTTGGAAAGTAATGTGGGTTCCTATATGGAAATTCAGACACCTGTGTAGGGCAGGACTGTGCTTTTATTGTAGTGTAACAACACTGAGTGTGCGTCTTCTCTTTCAAATAGCAGAATGGCACGGTCTCCCGGAGGTAGTGGAGTAGTAAGTGCTTCTCTTCCTTACAGTAGCTGGGTAACTGTGGGTGTGGGAAACCTTGAAAATGCCTTCATGTGTCCAGTCTGCTGAACAAAAGTGCCTGTTCTCGAGCTGACTTGGCAACCGGCGTTTTTATTGGCACATGGGCTTGAGGGCTGGAGGCATGGGACGGCTAGTTCTGATCCGTAAAGAAAAATATTTCAAGGAATACTTGATTACAGCGCAGGGTGCTTTGCTTCTAAAAACGCTGAACAGTGTTAATGTATGTGAGAACGTGCGTACGGGAAAAATCCCTTCCTATTAAAGGTCGGACTGTGTCTCACTCCAGGAGGAGGATGGGATGGGGCTGAGCTTCTCAAATAAGTGGTGTGGGAGGACATTTGGAGATGGTGTGATGACAGTCCTGAGTTTGGGGGGTTTGGGTTGTTGGGGTGGGTTTTGTTCTGTTTTTTTTTTTTGCGAGAGCAGAACGTACTCCGTTAATTGGGATTGTCATTGACCTTCATAAAAAGCCCAGACCTGAACCCTGTGTCGCATACCAGTTTGGCCAGCATGCTTTCCTCCCCTGTTGGCATCATCAGAAGGGTAATTGTGCAGGATGGAGGGCTTGCTTAGCACCAGCAGGATGGTGTGGCACCTGCGGTGATGCGGGTTTCTCTTTCGCAGCCATTGGGCGGGCAGCAGTCGATCGGAGACGATGGAGCTGTACAAAATGCCTCTAAATGATCTACCTGTGGGCTTCAGCTTTTTGCAGCACGATTGAATTGAGTTGTGCCTCTCTTTCACCAGGTGAAGGAATCGGATGGTGTGGTTAACGATGAGCTGCCGAACTGCTGGGAGTGTCCAAAGTGCAACCATGCAGGGAAAACTGGAAAAGTGAGTTTAATGGGAATAAGTGATGCTGGAATGAGATACAAAATCTCAAGCATTCCCTCTGGCTTGTAGATATAACTTTGCCCAATACCAGCTTTTGATTTCGTGCCTGATTCAGCTGAGTTGAAGGAAATAAGCTGATGGCTTTCTGTTCTTTAATAACTTCTGTATTCTTATTCCGTGTACCAACGCTTCACTCGAAACCTGAGGAATGTTTAGGTTAGGTCCATGCGCTCCTGCATGTTAATTTCTAAAATGAAAATACTTTAAAAAAAAAAACAGAATCCAGAAGCAATTATGCAAAACGTGCAGTGTCTGTTGGAATTAGTGAAACATTATTTCCTTGCAGACTGAGACAGACGCTTGCAAGTGTTTAGTTACAGAAATAACTTTGTGAAGGTTGAAACTACTTTACTCTTAACTCCTTGCTGATCATTTTGTCTGTTACAAAGCGATCAACCCATTAATGTTGGAGTGTTGGAGGCGACTTAGATACTGTGAGCTGAGAAAGGCGTAAGATATAAAGTTTGTTTGTGTTTTGTGTCTCTTTGGCGTACAAGCAAAAGCGCGGACCCGGATTCAAATACGCATCAAATCTCCCAGGCTCGTTGCTGAAGGAACAGAAAATGAACAGAGACAATAAGGAAGTAACGGATGCTGCGAAACGGAAAGGGGACTGCGAAGAAACTCCCAGGCGGAAATCGGAGGAACATTCCAAAAAGACTCAAGTGGACTCAATACTGAGGAGGAAGTCAGACGAAGTGCATCTGTGGAGGAAAAGGAAATTTGAGAAACCCCAGGAACCCCCTATGAGAAAGCGGGTATGACAGAACACTCTCTTCATGTACTTACACAGATGCGTGTGGGCTGGTTGGGGCTGATGTCTCTTGCCTTCTGGCTTGTAGCTCATCTTGAAATTCCAGATTGTTACAAAAGAAACTGCCATGTTTTACCTTCCTGTCGGAAAACTGCCAGTCTACCAGGACGGCGGTTTGAACAGCGACACTCAGGTTGACATTCAGAGGCCGAGAACGCCGGGCTATGGCTGTTGTTTTATTCAAAATACTAGAAAACCCACTTTAACTGAAAAGCCTTTACAAGATGCTTGGAATAGGAACAAGGTGAAATCAATTTTTGATGGAAACCTTTTCATCTCTATCCACTGGGTGGCGTATGGCAGCTCGTTTTGTGGCTGATTCGGGGACGTAACCCATCAGAGGACCTTTAGAACTGACACCTTCTGGAGCCTGCAGAGAGGAGGAGCTGCTCACCACAGCGATGTAGTCAGCTTTTCCCTGAATTTAACAGTCAGAGCTCTTGGGCCAGGCAGGGACACTCTGAATTGTCTTTTTGATTGTGACATGTGATACTTGGGATATACAGAAATGCTGGTTTGCAGAGGTAGAAATGAGGACCTAGATTTAATGTGTCTCACGAGTAAGTGGTTGATAGCTTTAAAATCAGAATCAGTTGGCTGGTTTTGTGTTGCATGTGCAGCTCACGAGGACTGGCAGTCGGTCTGCCCCACGAGGCTTGACAGTGGGAACGCTGCAGTACGGTAAACGTAGGGATTGGGGTTGCTTTGGCGGAATGAGAGAGCAAAGATTCCCGGTATCAGTTTATGCATATCTGCTTTCTGGCCATGCTTTCCTTTTCCCATCCCTGTGGACTCACTGTGGTGTTTATGGATGGCTTGAACTGCTCCAGGAAAGGCCCCCAGTACGTGAAGAAGGCACTGTGGATCGCCGAGCCTTCATCAGACACAACAGCAAATGTCGTGTTTTGGGGTTTTTGCTTTTCTTTCTTCCAACACCTAAAACTTGGAAAAGAAGACAAACTCTTCAGGAAGAAGGTACTTTGCCTTTTTAATAGATGAGTTCTCAATCCCTTCTAATCCTCTCTTCTCACGTGAGCGGGACAGCGAGCCAGTTTCTCTGTCGTGTCCTTGTGTCACTGCAGGCATTTTGATTTATCCCATTTACATCCTGAAATTACGGAATCTCTCTCTCACGGAAGCCTTTACACTCCAGGATAATTTAGCTGCAGTGCCTGGTTTTATATTTTCTGTTCTGGTGTCCCATGTTAAAACACAGCAGCAAGCTGTGTTTTGCTGACCCGAGGAATAAAATTCTCTTTCTATACTCATGTTTCACTCTTCCTGTGTGGTTGACTCTGGCCCCTGCCACACAGCCCCTCAGCAGTCTGCACCACGGCACTGCAGTCCACCGCTGACACCCCAGGGAGCCAGGGACGACCTGGCACACAGGTATTGATTACCTCTCACCATCTGGCACCGTAACAGAAGTCCGATAGCTTTAAACTAAGCGCTCGTCAGTACCCTGTGTGAAGGATGCTGCAAGCTGACGGTAGTTTGATGTCGTAATTTTTTTCATCTAACCTGTCATTAACTTACTGGGACCTCTTCCTTTACAATATGTTAATTTAAAGACAGGGCCATCAGCTTTCTGTGCTGTGCACCGCAGTCTGGAGCACAGGAGCACATCCACTGACTTGAATCAATTAGTTTATTGCGAAACCATAGACCTTCTGATATAACAAGTGTGTTCACAGCAGTTCACCTTTTCTTGCCAGTCCAGATCTCTTCTTGTTACACGTATTTCATTTTAACAGTCGGTGGCTTCTTTCTTGCTTGTAGTGAGCAGATTAGACTTGAAAGTCTTCCCTGGTCTTAGTTTGTAGGTCTCTTACACTTCTATCTGCTACGCATCAAAGAGGTTTGATTCATGCAAGTCGAGTGCAGTTTGCTGTTGGGAACAGGGACCGGGGCTGGGAAGAAGGTGGCAGCTAACCCCTGTCAGCCCGCGTTGCATTGGAGGCCGTGTCAGCGTGAGGGCTCGTTGGGCTAGCAGAACATCAGACCTGTTGGTCAGAGTCCCCGCTCTGCGGGCCCCAGCGGTGCGGGAAGCTTGAGGAGACGAGCAGAGTTTAGTGGGATGTGAAGCATGATAAAATGAGCCTGTGAATGTCCAGCGATAAGGGCCACAGCAGCAGAGCTGTAGTGTGAGCCGGCGATTGTGACTCAGGAGGCTTCAGAAATTGACCTTTTTGGCCATTGGGCATGAACGTGTGTCAGCTGTGCGGTGGGAGCCCAGTGAATGTGCCCCGAGCCTGGCTGCTGCTGGGACAAAAGCTGTCTGTAGTATGCTGCTAATCTTCTGCATAGAAATTGTCCACTGTGTGACGAGTAAGCCCCTCCATCTGCAGGATTATGCATGATGAGTACATGCATTTATCAGTCTCTTGGAGTCCGGGGAGCCAGTAGCTGGACTCCTCATCCGTGTGATGGCACTTGAACTTGATGCCTTTGGCCGGTGAATGTACCCTTGTGCTCAGCTGGGTGGGGCCCAGTGCTGGCCGGCAGCCCGACCCCCCTGGGCAGGGCAGCCTGTGTGCAGCATCAGCGTGTGAAGTGTTGCTGAGTATGTTCTTGCTCAAATAGTCAGCTCTTGTCTCTTCCTTTTCAGCGGCGGTCGTGGAAGGCTCCAGATGACCGATCGGCCATGATCAAACCCCTGCGGCGCCTGAAGCAGGAGCCGGAGGATGACCTGCCAGAAGCACCTCCCAGGTCCAAGGACAGTGACCAGTCACGGTCCAGCTCACCCACCGCAGGTCCCAGCACGGAGGGCGCCGAGCCCAGGGACAAGAAGAAGTTCAAGATGAGGCGGAAAAGGCGGCTTCCCAATAAGGAACTGAGCAAGGAGCTCAGCAAGGAGCTCAACCAGGAGATCCAAAAAACCGAGAACAGCCTTGCCAATGAGAATCACCAACCCATCAAATCTGAACCTGAGAGCGAGAATGAGGAACCTAAGCGTGCTTTGAACAACAGCGAGAGACTCCATAGGTTCAGCAAAGGGTTAAACGGGACTCCCCGGGAGCTGCGGCACCAGCTCATCCCCAGCCTGCGAAGCACACCTCGGGGAATAACCCGGCCACCGCCTTCGCTCTCTCCTCCCAAATGCATTCAGATGGAACGGCACGTTATCCGGCCGCCTCCCATCAGCCCCCCTCCGGACTCGCTCCCCCTGGATGACGGGGCAGCCCACGTGATGCAGAGGGAAGTCTGGATGGCTGTCTTTAGCTACCTCAGTCATAGAGACTTGTGCATCTGTATGAGAGTTTGCAAGACCTGGAACAGATGGTAAGGAGGGCGGGAAGCCCCGCTAGGTCTAACGTGCAGCGGGATGGGCTTCAAAGGGAGGTGGGAGACAGAGGCGCTAATGCCTCCTGGAAGAGGTGGGGGTGTGGGTTGTCACTGAAGCTCTTTAGAGCCCAAGGAGAAGGGGTTGCCAGCAGCGTCTGGAGAAATAGCATGTCTTTGGGTGCTTTCTCCGAAACAGCAGTTCCCAGCATTTCCAATGGGAATTTGTGTGTGTCAGCATCAGCGTCAGCCTGCCGGGGCTGGAACGCCCCAGAGCAGCCTGTTCTGTAGTCAGACACCACAATGTTCTTGCCTGCTGGAACAGCCAGTCTAGGTCATGCTAAGTCTTGGTGTCATGCTGCCCCCAGGACTTGCTGAGTGCTAATGCAGTTGTTTGTTCAGTTCGGCTATTAAATATCTATTGCGATGTAGTGAAGATGTCCCAGTGCCCTCTGTGGTCTCCTCAGAAGGTCTGTGCTGGTTGTTTCCCTGTAGAGGGTACATGGAGAGCGATCCCGTTCGCTGCGTTCTGTCCCAGCAGAGCTGATGGAAGAATCCTTCCTTAACTGTACTGACTCACAGTGTGTCCGTTCGGTGCCTGGGCTACCGGAGTGGGAACATGGGCACAGCCGGTGACCGTACGGCAGCAGGAAGCGGTAGTGGACAGAGTTATGTGTTTCGCTGAACTTGCAGTGAGGTCTCTTGTTGGCTGTCATCTCGGATTGGACTGCAGTGTGCACACAGATGGGCAAGTTGTGACAGAGGCTCCTTCTGAGTAACAAACTGGGCACATGACAGAAAGGTTGAGAGGTTGGTAATTTGGTGCAGGACGATGTGTGTGGAGCGTCTCCTCCGTGGGCTGCTTGGTGTCACAGAAAGCTGGTAAATGCCTTTTCCACTTCAGTGCAGTATTTTCTAATGGAAAAATGAGAAAATGTAGAGTCTTGCACACTCATCAGGACTTCTTGCTTGTTGCCCTTAGAGAAGCATAAAGAGAGCGTAAAAACGCATAAGCCATGGAGATGGGAATAACACAAAGACACAAAACAGGAGAGGGGGGATCTGTTTTACAAAAGTCACTGGTTTTAAGTAAGGAAAGTGCAGGGGAAATCAGGACTAATATTTAAAACCAGTCTTTATATTCAAAAGGTGAGCAAGAAGGTGTGGCTTGTCTTCAGGCTAGAAAATGGATTTTTAGGAAGTGCTGTGATGTCTTAAAATGGGATCCAAAGTTTTGACACTTGTAATTCTGTGGAAACAATTCCGTGCTTTATTGCATGATATATTTGATGGAGAAAACACTGTGGTGGCGTGCTTATCTTAGCATGGCTCAGCCTTGGTTTTGTGATTTTCAGTTAAACGCTGCAGTTTTCCCTACCGTTTAATGACGCCTTTTAACATCCTGCAGAAATCAGAACAAGTGCCGAATTAAGTGCTGTTGGCTTTTTTTTCTTTTTGGGTAGGTGCTGTGACAAAAGATTATGGACCAAAATAGATTTAAACCATTGTAAATCCATCACTCCACTTATGCTTAGTGGCATTATTAGGAGACAGCCTGTAACCCTTGATCTTAGCTGGACAAATATATCTAAAAAGCAGCTGAGCTGGCTTATCAACAGACTGCCAGGTAAGTGATGGTTTTTGACCACTTCACTGACTTTAGCAAATCAGTTTGTATCTAAACTGCAATCTCTGAGGAATGTCTGGAAGGATCCAGCTATCCTAGGAGAGGTGTAGATATGTAGGAATGAAGCATTGGCGGGTTAAAATGAGCCCAAAATTAGTTTCCTTGTGCCCACTCGGTGTGCAGGGCGAACTAATTTGAGGCAGGTCTTTGCCAGCGGGTGACGTTGCTGCAGAAAGTGCCTGTGCTGATGCAATCAGCGGAGGGGGTGTTGGGGGTCTGCTCTCTCCCACCGTCACGGAGTTCCAGATGGTGGGAAAGATGGAGAGCTGGGCAGGAGGAGGCGTAAGGGGTCCCTGCGTGCCGTGGAGTGCTGGGATTGTTCATCAGAGTGGCGCTGGGCTTCACCCGACCCGTGCGTGGCAGCAGAGATAACCATGTAGGTCTCTCTGGGTAGGCCAAATGCTCCAACTTCTTCTGTATCTGCAGGTCTCCGAGACCTGCTGTTATCAGGGTGCTCGTGGATAGCAGTGTCGGCACTTTGTAGTTCCAGTTGTCCTTTACTCCGAACTCTGGACGTGCAGTGGGCGGAAGGACTGAAAGACGCACAAATGAGAGACCTCTTGTCACCACCCACAGATAACCGGCCAGGTAACAGGCGGGAGGAGGACGTGGGTGTCCCAGCTGCTCCATGGCATGTTCTGCTGCTAGTCCCCCCTGGAGGAGAGGGGCAGGAACCCCCGCAGCCAGCGCCGGCGGGTTCTGGGCTTTGCTGAGGCGCGAGGTGTTCAAAGTAGTGACTTGCAACACCTCCTCGCTGGAAGCCACTGGGTAACGAGTGATGTTCTCTGGCTGCTGAACAGTCATCTGAGCCACTGTGCTGGTTTTCTGTCTGACTTTCTTCTCTTCAGGCTGCAACGGGTGTACTTTAGAGAGTATGGAAACACTTTCTTCCAGTTCAGGGAAGGAGCAGTTCTGTGGGTCATGCCACATTCGCCCGGATATCAGCTCAGGTGAAATTTTGAGCAAATCAGATCTGCTTTCTGGCATGCACTGCACAGCCTACTGCTTATTCCCGACGTGTAATTCCGCTGGGCCCCTGCAGTTACTTTCATCCCTTTTGTTTTGAAATCAGGAGGTGGCTTTGTCCACGTGCCTGTTCCAAAAATAGACGAGCGTTACCCTCCAAAGCTCCAGACAGGCAAAAGCGTCTGAAGTTGACGTAGGGCAGCAGTGTTGTGTGTCACAGTGCATTTTCATATAGATCTGCAGATGTTTGCAGCACGGGGCGAGACTTGTGGGAGTGACCTGCTGCCTCTGCTTTCCAGGTCAGATCGACAACCGGAGTAAGCTACGGAACATCGTCGAGCTGCGCTTGGCTGGCCTGGATATCACAGATGCTTCTTTGCGGCTGATCATAAGGCACATGCCTCTGCTCTCCAAACTCAATCTTAGTTACTGTAACCATGTGACAGATCAGTCCATTAACCTGCTGACCGCTGTTGGAACCACCACGCGGGACTCGTTAACAGAAATTAATTTATCAGGTAAGCAGCAGGGGCGCAGGGGACGGGCATTGCCTGTTGGCGTTAGGCCTGTGTGAACCTCTCGCTGGTGGGAGTGGTGGCACCAGCTCTGCCCTGGCCCACGGCGTAACTGCCCCCCACCCTCTCCAGTTCCATTTAAGCAGCTGGGTGTGCTGCTGGTGTAAGTGACCCCACAGCTGCCCAGCTGTTCCCCGGGCCCTCCAGCAGCTGACAGGACTGCTGCCCCCTGCCCGGGAGCCATGTGCTGTGCCTCCCTCATCCTCCGCAGGGCACTTCCCATGGCAGCTGCTCCGCACATCTGGCGTGTTCCCCAGTCACACAACAGAGTCACAGGGATCGGAGAACTGGGATGGGGCTGGCTGGGGGGTTCCCCCGTTGGCACAGCAGGGGAGGAGCAGGAAGGACCTACCACAGTCGGGATAAACCATCCTCGCACTGCAGAACAAACCGAGCCCCGCTGCTGAATTCCTCCCCATTTGTGTGTTTTTCCCTCCTGCAGACTGCAATAAGGTGACTGACCAGTGCCTGTCTTACTTCAAACGGTGTGGAAACATCTGCCAGATCGACCTGAGGTACTGCAAGCAAGTGACGAAGGAAGGCTGCGAGCAGTTCATCGCAGAAATGTCCGTAAGTGTTCAGTTTGGGCAGGTGGAAGAAAAACTTCTGCAAAAACTGAGTTAGTTAAAGGACACGTGTAAATACTGGGGCGGGGTGGGGGGAAGGGACTAAGAACAAGTAGGGATTTTATTTTCAGTTGGGAACTTGGAATATTGGAAAATACCGTGATGGGATTTTACAACTCTTGTTGAGAACAACATGAAACTACCCACGTTGAGAATTTCAACTCGTGCCACTAATTCAGTCTACCTGGGACGTCCTGCACTGGCTCTTATGCAAACTGGTGAGGCGACTGTTACTGGTGATAATTGTTCACGCCCGGACGACGACTGATCTCCAAGAAATACTGTTATTTAAAGTACCACAGCATGTGCTTGGTAGTGTAAATTTGATTTCTGCTTTTCATTTCTTACAACAGCAACAACAACAACAAAAGTCGGTGTCATTAAAGTGGACCACGCACTGCATTTCTGCCTTCTTAACACGTTTTGTTTTGTTACATCTTACATTATGCAGAACTATTTTTGTACAAAAATTGTTTAAAGATTATTTATGCAATGTTTGAATGCATTACCAGTGTTTCGGTTTCGATTGCCAATTTTTATCTTTACTTATGGTAGGCGAGAACTTAACCTATACTTCGTAGACAGTATCTATCTACAAACGTGCCCAGGTCAGGAAAAGTAGGTTAATACTTTCAACTTCAAGCATGTTTTAATGGAAGTTTATATCCTGCTTTGTATACTTCAGAAGTGACATAAGCATGTTGTGGAAATAAGGTGTAAATTATAGTTGAAGTAAAACACTTTGCCAAGTTTTATCTGTATAGAAATCACCTTTTTCTCAAAATTTTAAAAAAAAAATTCCAATTTCAGCTTTTGCACATAGGAGGGTTTCACTCTGTAGCATGAGCTCTTGTACTCAATATAAAATTAATTTATACAGTGAGTCCAGCCGTAGAATAAATGGTCAACCGTAGTCTCTCTTTCTTTGAAGTGTGAGTTGAGTTCTCATTTAAGGTTTATAACATGGTTATTTCCTGATTGTAAAACTCTGCATTCATAAGTGCCATTGTTGTACGGTGTTGTTTTCGTAGACCTTCCTGATGCAGTTTTACCTTTGTTGAATTTGTATAAACAATTGTACAAAAACAGGCGCTGGCTCTGCGGGTTTCTGTTCCCGTGCCGGGCTGGTTCGGGGGGGACACGCTGTGCTTGGGCTGCAGCAGTGTGTGGAGTGACCGCGGCGAGCGCCTGGGCTTACGCCTGGTGCTGAGGTGGAGCAGGTACCAGTGTCGAGCCTTGGTGCAGGCCAGGATGAAGAGAAGAGCCCCTCTTCGTGCAGTGCTACAAGCAGTGCTTGAGCTGTTCCTTGTCCTGGGCCTTTACGTTGGCATAATCCCATACTTTTCTACTGAGGAGGGAATAAAAGACACATACATGCCTTCCTCCAGCTGGACCCTGCCCAGGTTAGTCTAGAGGAACACTTGGACATCTCAAGAAGAATGTTAACACTGGAGCTGAGTAACCACCGGCACTCCCAGAGCTGGTCAAGAAAAGAGGCAGAGGCTGAGGAAGCCCATCACAAATCTTTATTAAGCTTGTGTGGCTAATGATCAGCATGGAATTAACACAGAGGTTATATTTTTCTTTTAACTCACCT